GGAATATTTTCAAATACTAATATCAGATTAGGTCTTCTGTAATTTGCTGTGTCCTGCTCTTACCTCCTTACTTTTCAATATGTCGGATAAGAGTTGAATTGAAAGAATAAGATGATATATTCCAATTCAGATTAATTTCTCTTTGACGGAGATCCATTTTTAATAGCTAACTATAAATTTCTTGCTAAGTACTTTCACTCTGTTAGCTAAAGGTGCTTGTGAGTGTGATAGTTGATACAATATAGAACAGAATTACTCAGAGGACAATGACGTTAGTTTTATTACTCTTAGTGATTCATTGTTTTATACCTCCGGACTGATGTAGGTAAGAACAACTGTAAACCCTCCTGCTACATTGATCTGGTTTACACAGTAAGCTAAGCCATGGTTTGCTTACTAGGGAGAAACTTGGTGTATAATACTCAGATGACATTTTAGGCCAAAAATTAAACATCAAAAACGAATGTATTAAGCCCAAAAGTTGATTGTACTCATTCATTCCCTGAAGATATTGAAAAAATGATAAAAGTGCAGCTCCCAGCAGAAAAGAGGCAGATGCGTCCAAATTAGAATGACAAGCAAACTGAATTATTGGATTGCATCCAGTAGTATCTGGTCATCTCAGGTCTGCTTTAAAAGCTTGAGAGTCCACAGGAGAACACTGGAAGGAGATTACATATATGACAATGGGTATCCGTCAGTTTTCTCTCTCTTTATTAAAAATATATGTTTATTAAGAATTTTACATAAAGTAAAAGAAGTCTAAAGAAAAGGAAAGGAAAGAAAGATTAAGCAATATGTTCAAGAAAGAAACTGAAGTTATGAAATATGACTTGGAACTTTATCTTCAAAAGATAATTATAATCTTGTATTAGAAATATTAGATACTATATAAATCCCTTCAGCTCCTCATTTAATTCCACTTTTTTTAATTTTCAAACTCATACATCGTCATATCATTATTTTCTTCTTTCAGCCTACATAAGGTTCCAGTCTTCAAAAAAAAACATTTTTTACTCTCCAAACTTTGTTATTTTGCAAATTTTTAAAAGTACTTCTTTGAGGGAGATACGAGGTTTAGAAATATGAAATATAAATAAATAAATAAATAAAATTCTGACATATTCACCATCTATTCCCCCAGTGTGGGAATTTCATTGTTTTAGACAGCTTTTCTCAACTTTGTGCCCTCCAGACATGTTTGATTTTAGCTCCCAGTTGTTTGTGAGACATGTAGAAGAAAGCTATTCCTAAGCTGATGGGTGGTCAGTAGTTGATCTGTTCTTATGAAATGTATATATTACTGCCATTACTTTTTTTGCTAAGATTATGTGTTGTAGCTAAAGTTATTTATATTGTTCTTTTAGTCCTTCAGTTTTGTTCCATGCCCAGGCTTGTTTCTATGAAGGAGATAGCCTTAAAACTGGAATCCAATAGTTAAATAATTAACTGTTAATAGCAAAGACCCCACTAAAGGATTAACATATAATGGAAATGCAGATTAAGATCTTTTCAAATATACTGTTGATTACAGAGAATTAAGTACTGTGATGAATGGAAAGGAAGCGTGAGGAATGACAGGTTAAGAAGAATTGTAACTTTCAGTTGATCCTACTAGCTGCAGATGCTGTGATCACATCTTTTAATGGAAGATTTCCCAGATGTCTAGTCACTGCAGCGAACTCAGATCACTTTAGATTAAGTCGCATACCAGGCTTGTCTAATTTTCAATGGATCTGAGGATATAAGTGGGTGGTTACACCCATCAACATGCATAACAACCAATGCTAGACATAACCCCTAGGTCTAGGAATATAGATTAAAAGGACTGGAGGGACACGCTGAGCAACACAGAATAATGGGGAAAGGACATCTGGGGTGAAATTTCTCCCATATTTTATAAATATTATTTAGAAGCAGCTGTTGTAATACTTGATCAACTGAAACATATTACTTGCGTTTATAACCCTTAATTAAAAGGCCAAAGTTTACATAGAATTATTCCAGTCTGATGCTATTTTATTGTACAGTATTATAAATCTTTATTATTTATAGTCCTGTCTGTAATATCCAAGATTACTTAAATGCCTCAGGATCTTTAAATCATACTTTTGAATCTTAGACATTCAGAAATAGCAGATATGAGTATAATACATGCTAAGTTGAAGCAGTATGTTGCCTGTATTAGGATCAACAGCAAGTTTCTTAATAATGCACAGATCTATAATCTTCCCCACCACCAAAGGGTTAATTCATATAATTGCAGGGATAAAAATTTAGAATATAGAACTTTTAATGGGAATTTAAAAAAATAATAGCAGTATTATGACAAAAACATTTATGTCTTAATTGTATTTTAATGCTTGCAATATTGGATGTACGGTAACTTTTAAGAGTAGTGCAGAAGCAACAGTATAAGTGCATTAGTTTTACTGTAGAACTATCTTCTAAAACTAAAAAAAACAAAAAATAAAAAATCCTTAGTTGATAAATTCAAAAGCCAGGCATTGCCTTAAGATCAGTTTTAGGTGTCAGTGTTGCTGATAACACCAATTTGGGCGCAACAAATTTTTTACAAGACAACATCCAAAACTAAAAAAAACCCTTAGTTGATAAATTCAAAAGCCAGGCATTGCCTTAAGATCAGTTTTAGGTGTCAATGTTGCTGATAACACAAATTTGGGTGCAACAAATCTTTTATAAGGCAAAATTGACTAAATCAGTATATTCTATGCATCATTCCCCAAATAGAAGTTGTATCAGGATTGTTTTAAAATGAAAGATCTGCATGCAGTAAGATTACAAGTCTGTTCTGTTGGGGTGCTGGAGAGGGAGAGGCGAAGGGGGGAGAGGAATTAAAACTAAAAATAGTCACCACACTACTCACTATATTTTTGTAAAGGGAGAAAAAATAGCTTGTGACTTGATCAAGATAAAGAAGCTTGAAATGCGATATCCAAGTACTTAAATGTCCCCACTTTCTGTAATGGAGCTTCATCCAAGACCCATCTGTCTTGTGACATTCTTTGAAAAAGAATGAAATCTTTGTTTTATTGTAATTTATATTTAATAGTTCTTATTAACAAAGAGGTTGTTTCAAAGGCATGCCTCAGTCCTGCTTTATTTACTGAATACAATACTGCATAATCCTTATAAGGAGAAATGGGCATCTTAACCTCTGATAATGCAGGAGGATGGCAGTATTCTAGCTTGTTTAAATGCAGCTCATGACGGGGTCTTTGTTGTTGAAATGCAAATTAAAAACAGCACCAGAACGAGGGCACACCCTTACTAGGTCCCTTTAATGGTTAAAATAAGATTAGATGACACCGAAAGGGCTAAAATGTACCCTGTCTTTCTAGCATATCCACAAATGAGCTTACGAACTGCAGATATTTTTCCAACAAGTGAACAAACACTGTGCCACAAATCCATTCTAGCTCTTTTCAGCTTCTATATTTAGAAGTCTCCCATTAATAAAATGTGAAAAATCATGCCTCCACTTTAAGCAGTCAAACTTCTATCCAAGCGAGCATGTTTGTTGGCTTATGTGGCACTTTGAGAAAATATATATATTTATCCACTTGCAGTTTGTATTAGACAGCTGAAGTTACTTTATAAATCCTGGCTTTTTTGGTATTACTTCACCGCAGGTTTTTTTTTTATCACATATCATAAGCAATACATGCCGATTGCTAGGCTGCTTCTAGCAAATAATTTTAGGGTGGACTTGCCTATTTTATTGCCATAATTCTCTGAGTTCAGAAGATGATGCCTTACTTTTCTGACTATTGTGTATTTTTTTCCCACCAGGAAAGGCAGAATTGCTGTTGTCTGATTAGGATAATCTATAAATGCCATTAGTTTACTATTATGTATTTATTTAGATTTGTGTTCTGTCTGTTCCCTTCCCAAAGCAGAAGGCAGCTTCTAGGGGAATTTCCCTTTTATTTGATCCTCCCATCAAAAACTTTGAAATAAGTTGGGCTGAGATTGTGACCGGTGCAAAATCATCCAGTTGAGTTTCCATGGCTAAAAGAGGACCTGAACTTGGCTCTTATGAGCCTAGGCCTAACCTCACTACCCCAGCACAGCGCACCTCTGTTTCTCTGCTTGTGCAAAGTGTAAATGGGTTGCGTGTTTATATCCTGGCGATTAAACTAAGCAATGCCATTCAAACTGGGACAATGGCGGACGGAGCATCTTGTAATTGAATGTTGGCTTCCTTGCATTCTTCTGCTCTTGGCTATATAAGCTTTAAGAGTTTTGGCTGAAATATAATTTGCATCCTGTGGAAAAGGTTTTTTTTTTTAAAAAATTGTTTAGACGATTCAAAAGGAGCAGATAGCAAATCCAGCAGAGAAGTGAACTTTTCCCCCCCTCAACTATGATTAAATCTCTTTCTTCCTCCTGGGAAAATCAGCCCAGCGTACTTCATTAAAGCCGCCCAGTTATCCTCTGTCAACCTAACTTCCTTATTAACGACGATGCCTTGTTGTTACGATTCTGAGCAGACTTGGGCAAAAGAAATCACCGGGGGGGTGTAGAAAGAGGGAGGGAAGGAGGGAGAGAGAGGGAAAGCGATGCCTGTTCGGAAGAGCCCGTCCTCATGTTTATCATCCCCTCGCACGGAGCACAACGTCTGCAAGTTGACGAGGCGCAGCCACCGAGCCAATCAGGCTTTCGTCTCCTGCCTCTGTCATCAGCCTTCAGTCGGAGGCAACGCTTTCTTTCTTTTGCTCTTCGGACTCGGAGAGAGGCAGATAAAAATGCCAGCGCTGGGCTGCCTGGTGGGATGACCTCTCCTTCTCTCTAGGATGTGAATGAAAAGTGCCGTGGCCCCGGGGGGTGGGTGGGGGGAAGCCGCATAGCAGCCCAACAACTTGAGAAGGCAACAACTGAGCTGCTGGGGACTGGGCCTTTCCCCGCGTTGGCAATCCCAGCGGTGTCTGTGGCCAGGGTGTTTACTTTTTTTTTTTTTTTTTTTTTGCCTTGAAAAAGGGGCTCTTTGGATTATCAGACCTCCATGTATGACAATTTGTACCTGCATGGATTTGAAGACTCTGAGGCGGTAAGTGGTTTCCTTCCTTCCTTCCTTCCTTCCTTCCTTCCCTCCTTCCCAGGCTTTGGCGTGTTCTCTCTCTCCTCTTCCCCCCCATACAAGCTTTCTTCAGAAATAACAAAGTAAGCAGAAGGAAAGGGATATCCAAAACCCTGGGCTCTTTTCTTGGTGGGATATTGGCAATGCATCTGATCTGCAGGCACCTAAACCTAATCCCAGGTTATGTAATTCCTCATTCAGCATCCCTGAAAAGAAAAGCCGGATGGGAAGCATTTGGTTTACAGACTGCACCCCTGTCCTCAAGGCAGGCTGGAGGAATGCTTCCCAGGTTTCTAATTTGGAAAAAATGTTCTTGTCCTTGTGCCAACTCTGTTCAACATCTAAAGGAATATGGGAATGGTGCACATAATGCTACCCTCTCTGCTTTGTTTAACCAGATTGTTATTTTCCTGAGCTGATTTTTTTTTCTTTACCTAACCAAATAATCGGTGTAGATCCATTTGCTTTTTTTTTTTTTGAACAAAGAAGCAGCACAAGTGGTTGGTGTAATGCAATCCTGTAACATCATAAAAACAGTACAGATGCTTCTAAGAAGCTGATTACTAAGACGGAGGTGTCATGTTTGCTGGTCTTGTCATTTTTTTGCGATGTTGGTACTCCTTAATAGATACCTGCTCTGTTAAGCCAGGATAGGCATTTCTGTTTGGCCGGAATTGATTGCCAGTTATCTGAAAGCTTGTGATAGTTGGAAGCCAGTTGAATGTAGATTGGAAAAAGACAATTGAGGACTATAAAGCATAATACTGTAACTGTCTTAGTCAAAATCTTTACCTCTACAGTTTAAAAAAGTCCTTAGGGGACAATGTTTTCTTTGGACAAAGAGAAAAGTGCTTAGATTGACACAATAGGATACATGCTGTTCCATATTAAACAGGAATGTGTTACATAAGATTTATCGCAAAGGCATAAAAATGCAATGATTATAACATAAAATGGTCTATGCATCAATAGGGGCATTTAAGATCAGCACTGATAAGATCCATTTGGAAATGGACCAGATCTCATGTATTTTGCAAATGTCCCTGTTGCTATAATGCTCTTTGGAATACAGCTGCAGAATACCGCATTTTGAGACTGATTCAACCACCAACACTTCTTATTTTTTTACAATTTTTCTAATAGGAAAGTTGAAATTCAAAGTGAATTGAAAACAAACTCTCTTTTGACTTTCAAAATCTGATGTTTGATTTATTGATTTTATACTGGTATTTCTGCACTTGGCAGGTATTTTTTCACAATGTATATTTTCCTGAACTTCCCTGTCCATTATTTTTTTAATGATCAGCTAATGTATTAATACATTCATAACTTTTTTCAAAACAAGGCAAGAAATGTTCAGTTAATACCTATTTGGAAGAATGACTGGCACTGCAGAAATATATCCGAAATATTTTAAAGTGAAGTAGCTAAGCTCAGTGGGTAAAATGTCTGGGTCTTGAGTTGAGGACACCTGGATTTCTGGATTGCTCATTGTTAGCTCTGCAAATGGCCTAACCCAGGGGTCTGGGAGCGGAAGTCCACAAGTCTTAAAGTTGTCAAGGTTGCAGACTCCTGCCCTAACCCCTTCTTTGTCAGGCTCATTTCCCCTTCAATATGTAGCAGGCACAGAAACTTCTCATTCAAGGTTGTTGTGTGAATGAGAAATTGCAGTGAAAAAAACCCCAAAACCCAAAATATGTTGAACAAGAAAAAATAAAGCCAGCTGTGGGTACAGAATTTCTACATGATTCACTTTAAACACTCAGCCAATACCTGCATGTTTGTGCATGGACTAAAAATATTCTGCTTTAGCCAAGATAATCATTTCCTTCCCAGTAACCCCTGGATATGGAATGAGCTGTACTTTGTTGCCCAAAGTTCATGCTTCTTCCAGAGAGTCTTTAACATTTGCATGGCTCATGCTATTGCCAGCAGAGTGTCATGAGCATTTGCTGGACATTGCTGCTGATAATGCTGGTACCATTGTGTGAACTAGATTATTTATGCTTAAATTTAGTGTGTACTATCTGGATTGGGGGAGTAATGGTAGTGAGATTGGGAGAGGTCTGTTGAATTGGTGTGGGAGAAGACCACGTTATCCTTTATGTTTGTCCTTGTAAAACATACTTTTGGGGTAGGTGTGTTTTTAAAGAGATTTCCAAGATGACTTCAGACTGATAATTATTCCATAATCTCTCTTATTTTAAAGCCTGTCTTAAGTTTTTAATTTGAAGAATAGTCTTCACCTCCATAAACTAAGATTCTGAGAAGTTATTTGCAAAGGGTGGCCTGCTTCCTTTTTTTTAATTAAGCCCCAATTGTGACCTGTTTGAGGGAATATTAATTGTAGTTTTGTATATGAATCTATTTAAAGAGGAAATTTTAGGACAGAAATTAAATTATACTACTCATGCTGCATTGATAATAATGCAGGAGAATATATAACTCAGGTTTAGTGAATAAGAGTATTATGTTCAAAGTTGAGGCCTCTGTCACCGAGGTGATGTTCTCCAGGAATGGGCTAGTAAGAACTTAAAATAAAATGTGTTATATGTATGTGTCTTCTCTTTAAAAAGTATGAATTAAGAGGTTGTAAACAATTCTGGTTTGGTAGAAATCTCAACAAAGCAACCAAAATGCTCAGCTGGGCTTTCGTGTATAAAAATACAAAGACATGTATTGAAATTGGGTTTTTTTGTTTGTAGTAAAAATATCTGTATCTAAAGACCCTCCCATTATACATGAATAAGTTGGAATGACTCAATTTGCCAGTATGGCAATTTTTACTGCAGTATGCCTTACACAGAATCTAGGTTGCTCAAGTTTGATGTCCGATCCATGCTGCTGTGGTGCAAATTCATGAATAAAGTGAGGATTTTGAAAAAAAAAAGTCAAAATTTGTCAAGATTCCAAATTGGTCTCGCATGGAAGGACAATTTGTGGAGATAGGTGCTAATTAATATTTCCCACCTGTTACAATTTCTTAATGAGCAGTTTTCCATGTATACCTCAGGCAGGCATAGGAACTTCTCATTCAAGTTGAGAACATTTGGAGACAAGTGCTGTAACTGGGGCAGGTGACTGACCTTGGATGTTTCCAAAAATGCTGAACAGAATTCGGTCTGGTTAGTAGTTGGAAGGGAAACCAACTGTAAAACCAGATGTGTTAGCTACTCTGGAAAGTTGAAAAAAAAAATCTTAGAAGAGGACAGTGGCTAGCTAATTCTGGAATCCTGCCCAGAAATCTGCATGGAAGTCTTTATATAGTCAGAAAGACTCAAGCTCAATTCAGGAGAATGTTTATTTTTACCTTATACTTTGTTAGTGAAAGAGACTCGCTCACATTTCAAGTCAGAAGAGAGTCTAATTTCTTTCAAAGATAATCAGTAGAGAAGAGGTTTGATCATTTAAGAATATAAATCATATTTATTTATTTATTTATTTATAAAATAACAAGATTTTTTTTATTTAAATGTAGATCCCGGTCTTATTTGCTTGATGTTTCTGTACAGATAGCCCTCAATATATGACCATAATGGAATCTTCCCATTACAGTTATATGTTGTGACAGTCATAAAATGGATTGGTCACGTGACTGACTCAGTTTTACAACCTTTTTTTTGTTGTTGTTGCAGTTGTTAAGCAAACCAATAACAGCAAAACTGTAGTAAGTTGTGGTCATGTGACTGTGGGATACCGCAAATGACTAAGTGAGGCAGTGTTGCCAAGATCCCAAATCTCAGTCACATGACTCTGGAGGGGACCCCCGCTGTTGGAACTTTGAATCCGGGTTGTAAGTTCCCCTTTTCAGATCCGTTATAATTCTGAAAGGCTCTTAAGATGCCAGTTGTAAGTTTGGACTGCCTGTATACGGTGCAGTTCAGAAAGCCTTTCGAAGCACATCTTTGGCCTTTGAAGAGACATGAATAAAGATGTGCTTAGAGCAAAAAAAAGAGTTAATCCGGCTCAAGGTTGACTCAGCCTTCCATCCTTCCGAGGTCGGTAAAATGAGGACCCAGGTTCTTGGGGGCAATATGCTGACTCTGTAAACCTCTTAGAGAGGGCTGTAAAGCACTGTGAAGCGGTATATAAGTCTAAGTGCTATTGCTATCCTTCTCAACACATCCTTTCTGTCCGCAAACACTTTTTACTTTTTGTTTGTATTTGCATTTGGATGGAATTAGGAATAGAAGGATTTCAAATACATTCCTTTCATATCTTTGTGATTTGTTATAGTCTGCCACCTGGATCCTTTACCCTGAACATGGGTTTAAATTTTCAATATATCATCCTAACCTGTGGTTGTTGTAGTTTTCAAAATGTAGGTTTGTAATCATTGTTATAAATTGGCCCATACTTACTGCTTTTAGTAAATTTAGATCAATGCAATAGATAACAACTGGAGTCAGCAGTTTAGTTATCAGAGATACACATATCAGCAATAGTTTCTTAAGGGAAGGAGCAGAATGAAGGGGTGTTACACAATTGAGTTTTGTAGTGTAAATCTGAATGTCTACTCAGACAAAAGGCTTCAATGGGACCTGCTGCCATCTAAGGATGGATAGGAATGCAACTGGTCACTTTTCTCCAGCTAAACATATAGTTATTTGTTGTATAGATTTTGAATCATTCAGATTATTTAAGTTTTCCGAATGTGGCCTGATAAAGTTTGAATTTGTTTCCTGACAGCTGGTTTAATAACACCGATCTTTGAGAACTCTGATTTCAGACATAAATAAATATAACAATACAACAATGTTAGGCCAGGGCTAAATTGCTGTATAAACTGATCAAGGAGCTGACTTGATATGGTTGTGGTAAAATATTTGCTATTTGACAGGCCACTGCCAGAAATGAAAGGTATTCGCCAGGAAGCAAAGTGATCTAAGACCCAAAAATGGGTTTCTGGTCACAATAAGTTAGGGTCACAATCCTGAACATACTTAGCTGGGGATTATGTACCATTGTTT